CACGAAAAAAGACAAAAAGGAAAAAAAAAAAAAAAAGGGGGGGTCTTGAAGAGGTGATTGGATTCTGATGATTATACACCAATGAATGGATTAATAATGGTGGTCAGGAGCATGGTTCTGAGGGCATTAAAAGAAGAGCACATGAGAGGTTAGTTTCTCTCTGCTCTATCATTTTCTGCCATGTGAGAATCCTGGGTCACTGTCACCACCACCAAGACCCTCACCAGATGTGTTCCCTAAACTCTGGACTTCGCAGCCTCTGAAACTGTAAGCAATACATTTCATTTTCTTTAGAAATTACCCAGTTTCAAATATTTTATTACGAGCAACAGAAACAGACTAATACAGTACGCTTATGTGACACTTTATTTTTGGCAAACACTTTTGCATTCATCATCTCATTTGAGCCTTACCAGAAGCATGTGAAGTAGGCAAGGGGGATTAATCTTTCTCTCTGATAAGTGAGACATCTGAAGCTTAGAGAGCTATCACAGGTAGTAGTGACAGGCGGCACTAATCCCAGGTTTCCTGGCTCCTAGGCCCTATTTCTATTGTAAAAAATCACTTTTCATTAAAAACCCAGGAAGAGCTGTGAGTTGGTCAAAACCTGTAAAATCTGCTTAAATAGCCATATGCTTTCTTTCTGTCCAGCATATTTTCTGACATGGATTGAATTGTGTCCCCCAAGTTTTATGTATTAGAAGCTTGATCCCCTCTGTGACTGTTAAGAGGGTGGGAAATCCTATTATGGTCATTGAAAGGTGGAGCCTTGAAGAAGTGGTTAGATTCTGAGGACCACGCCTAGTGAATGGATTAATAATGGTGGTCACGGGCATGGTTCTGAGGGCTTTCAAAGGAAAGCATGCGAGAGTCTCTCTCTCTTTGCTCTGCCATTTCTGCCATGTGAGACACCTGGGTAACTGTCACCACCACCAAGGCCTTCACCAGATGTGTTCCCTGGACTTTGGACTTCCCAGCCTCCAAAACCCTAAGCAATAAATTTTGTTTCCTTGCAAAGTACCCAGTTCCAAGTATTTTGTTATAAGCGACGGAAATGGACTAACACATTTCCTTTGAGAATCTCCTAGTCCCCAGTTTTATAATACTTAGTTTGGCTGTGTTGAAACCCACCATGTCCCTAGCTAACGATATGGAACTAAGGCCTGGTCAGTCAGAGTGTACCATTATCCTGGTCACAGTGACTAGCTCAGGTATGGGCACATGACCTAAGCCGGCTAATCACAGTCTTCTCTGGGTCTTTTTAAAGACGTACTCTTTTTCTGGGTCCTTGCTGACATGGAGCAGGAGTCTATCTGGGAATGAGGCAAGCAGAGGAAACCAAAGCTGAGAGATGAACAGAGAAAGAGAGAGTCCTGATGTTTTATTTGAACTATTGAGTCCAGCTGTGCCTGAAACTCTTTAGTGAACCAATAAATTCCTTTTTTGCTTAAGCGAATTGGAGTTGTGTTTATAACACTTGCAAATGAAAGGAGTTATTGACTAATAAAACTGCCATTTTTGTCTCTCCCAGAATTAGGAAATGCCTCTCTAAAACTGTTTATTTGCAGAATGCTTTATTCTTTTCCATACACACACAAAGCAAAGTCGGCTTATAAAAATACATAGAAAAAGTAGCAGAAAGCCAAAAATCAAAGGATAAGTTTAATACATAAAATATATATGTATATATATAGCACAATCTTTATATTAAACTGACAAGACTATTTTTTAAATTATAATACCAAGTATTGCTGAAGGTGCTGGGAAATAGACACTGTTGGAAAAATTATAAAGTGGCGCAAACTTTCTGGAGAGAAATTTGACAATGCTTATTCATATCCAGTGTTTGTCTCTAACCAGCCATTCTACTTTTAGGAATGCTTCTGAAGGAAATAATTAAATAAAAAAGGATGTATGCAAAGATTTAGCTATAAGATTTACCCATTAGAATATCATGAATTTATTAAAATAATGATGTGGACTTTTATTTAATGACCTGGAATAATATTCATATATTGTGGAATGGTTTTGGACTAGTGCATTTAAATTCTCCCTAATCTGCAGCAAAACTCATATGTATTGATCACTCTTAACCCCATGCTCTTAAAAAAAGAGCCTATTTAGTACTTGTAATTTAAGAAGAAGTATAGAAGTGGCAGAAATTGCCCCTCTGTTCTTACTGTTTGGATATTCTTTCTTCTGTCAAATTTGGCTGTCTGTAATTATCCGCTGTCGGACCACATACTATCTATACACTCGACATTTTTTCAAACATTTGACTAGTGTTGGGAAATTACTCATTGTAATTGAGTTGGGTCTCAGAGTATTATCTGTTCTAGACCAATAGTCACCAAAACATGTACATATGCTCAAAACAAATCACTGGTCTGTGAGAAAAAAATTTAAAAACTTCTATTTATAGTTAACTCTTAATTTTCTATTTCTAAGATGTTTTATAATGTACGTACTCCAGTAGGATAGTATCTAACAGATGAATATACAAAGATTGCTAAGATGTTTTTGATGATAAATGTGTGTTCTGATTGTCTATTGCCGTGTAACAAACAAGCTGAAAACTCTGTGGCTTAAAACACCATTTACCTGTTCACAGTCTCGTGGATAAGGAATTGGTGAGGACTCACCCGGGCAGTTTGTCTTTGCTCCAGTTGCATCACTAGGAGCGGCTGCACTAAGGGTGGCAGCTGCCCTTCCAAGAGCTCACTCACGCGGTCGGCAAGTTACTCAGCCAGGGCTGCTGGCTGGGGGGTCTCAGTGTCGGGCAGTTTGTCTTTGCTCCAGTTGCATCACTAGGAGCGGCTGCACTAAGGGTGGCAGCTGTCCTTCCAAGAGCTCACTCACGCGGTCGGCAAGTTACTCAGCCAGGGCTGCTGGCTGGGGGGTCTCAGTGCTTCCCACGTGGCCCCTCCACTGGGTTGTTTGGGCTTCCTCACAGAATGGTGGCTGGGCTCCAAGACGGAATGTTCCAAGGGACAGGCAGTAGAAGCTTCTAGTCTCAAGGCCTGGAGCAAGAAAATGCCATCGCGTCACTCCCAGCATGTTCTATTGGTGAAAGCAGTCGGGACCCTGTCCACGGTTCAAGGGGTAGAGGCACAGAACTCGCCTCTAGTTAGCAGTTTGTCAAAGAATTTGTGGCCATCTTTAATCTACCACATAGTATGTAATCAAAACGTCAGAAGGCCACCCATCTAGACAAACAAAACATGTGCCCCCGCCCCCAGCCTGGGTCTCAGCTCTCTCACATGAGGAATTTCTGGCCATCAGAAGCTGGTCTGCTCCCATCGATGCAGCCCCCAAAGCTGCAACATTGGAAATGAGGCTCAGACTTTTCTCTTATGGTTAATCTACCCTGTAGTCAGAAGGATACATGCAGGACAACATGAAAAAAGAAAAAAACAACAGTCTGTCATGGGTGCCACTGCTTTATTTTACGTAAGAAAACAGAGTTTGATAACAGTAGAAGTGAAACATTCATCTGATCAGGTCTTGGTGACTTGTACAAAGTTTTCTATTTTACACAGTATACCTTAGACCAAAACGTATTGAACATTAACTTAAATGTAGTCACAGTGGCTTTTATGACTCAAAAGGATAGAATCGAAACAGCGTTCTACCAGCAGTCGGACTGACACCCGCTTTTCTTTTCTCACTAATCAAGTAAAATGATTGCAAAAAAAGCTTTAAGATTTCTTGTCTGTAATAGA